CTAATTTGTTTGGCGTCGTCGACGACACTAAGACGACGTTCACCGGCGAAAAATGTCTGATTGGTCGACGCGTGACCACGTGACATTGCCAAATTCAAAATGGCGGCAATACCTCCATCGTTTGTTTATTCCAGTGGAAAGAAGATTAATTGCGGCGTAATATGAGTTGCAAATGCGTATACGGATTTTTTCAGAATAGCTTAGACTCTTTATTATCCTTTTGCACCTATCTCTTTGGGATTCGTTCCCTGCGATGCTCGCGTTTTGGCCGGTTTACCCGATTCAACTTTGGACTCTTCACGATCACGAAGGACAACAATATTTTTGATGAAAGCCGGGTCACTAGAAAGAACCGCCCTTGTTCACAGCTCTATACAGCGGAGAAATAAGACACTATGGGTCCTTTGAAATTGCTTAGATACCTGGAAGTTATTTTATTATTTTTGTTACCGAAAAGATAAAGCAAAATTATGTTTTCTCCATCAAGACCTTCTAATTTATAAAAAAAAGCTTGAACATGAGCTAAATGAACTGTAGTGTCTGCATTCATGTTTTTTTCATGGCAATTTTAATATTAAGAGTTTAAAGCCGTCTATGACCGAGCAGGTTTTTTTTTTTCTTTTTTCTTTTCAATGGTTACTGTGCTTGATCTGAATAAGATAATGAAATTTTTAAAATTAGGGAAATACTATATGTAAAAGAAGAGAACTTTGATAGCAAATATGTTAGTTTGAAAAAATACTGATTATACTATATGATCTTTTTGCTACATAGGTTAGAAAAGTGATGCATAGTCAAAAGTGCTAGAAAGGAGTAAAAAACCCAGATCTTTCCATTAATAAATTTGATTGACACGGCCAGGCGACATATACTTTGCTTTAGTACACATTTGTTCGTCCAAAATCTTGTTTGTGAAGCTGCACTTTGTTTGATTCAGGATCAATCAATCTTTTCTGAAGAGAAATGAACAATAAAGTATGTTAACATGTCACTACCTCAACACTGCCTTTGCCAACAACTAAGAAGAAACTCAACTTCATATAAAAAAAAAAAAACAAAGTGATAAATACTTCACTGTGAAACAACAACCCCTTCAAATATATATCATATTAAATTCACGCAAAATGTAGACCTGATGAGAAGTTTATAGGAAAAGAAACAAACGATAATTACAATGAAACTATAATGTCATAATATATATCTACAATGAATGAGATCTGTATTTGAGTGGTCTCTCATAATTCTGACAGAAGATCAAAATTGGAAACTGCATTCAGCAAGATTAGGACCCAAAGTTTACTCCAAGCTTTAAACTCCGGTAAGTTTAATTTGTGAGGATTATTTTTTTTTTCTTGGAAAGAACTTTTGAATACTTAATAGCATGTTAACTCTATCATTCATGATCCAAAAAAAAAAAATAAAGCCGAAAACGATGGACAGAAAAACAAAAGCATTCACAGGAATATTACCCACTTCATCTCCCTCTAGGATCCAATTTCCAAGCAAAGAAGCACCCCCCACAGAAAGCCTTGTGTGCAAAAATGTAGTACTAAAAAAATTGTACACGGAGGAATCATGTCCATGAGTGCGGTTCCTAACGAAGTAACTCGTTGTGTGGATAATCCCAAGCCAAATTTATGAGCAAAATAATCTAAACTTCGATCCATCAATTACAAAATTGCAAGCCTAAATGAACAGCAGCTGGCGGCACATTGTAAACAGAATTTTTTTTCACAAATCAGAATGTTGCTGGACCTATCGAACTGTAGCTCCAAGACGGTCTAAGTGTTTTAATGAAAAACACTCTCACATTTTCCCATTCGACAGTTCGCATAAAACTCAAATTTCTATATGGTAACATACAAAGCTGTAATAACGTGCAACAACAATGAAATTTGCATCGATCGACAAAATCACGTTTCGAACTACGCACTATAGAAAACAGACGCAACCCGGCCGCTTTCGATCCACTAGCCACAAGACAATTTACACAGCAAGACAATCGCTAAGAATATTTCTTTACCTTCTTTATAATTTCCTTTTGTACCGAGTGACACGAGATTAAGTTGAACTAAGCGTAAGCGTATTTTTCTGTCATAAACAGTATAAACATGCGGAGATTAAGCATCTAAATATAGTTTTTCCAGCAACAAAGTACACGCTAAGTCATATTAACAAAACAAAGGCCAAAAATGTCTCTCTCTCTACTTTTTTTTGTTGAATCCGTGATAAGAAACTTGGTCTAAACAACAAAAACATTTTGGATAGCATTGTAATACGCTCTTCGATCAACAGTCGAATGTTAGATATTCACAATCAAAGTCGAATTTTGACACAAAAACGGGATAGACATTTAACAAAACTGTCGCTTCCGTGCAATTCGGTACAAGCTAATTTATATACCAAAACAAAGCCCAATAATTTTTCTTCCACTGCTTTATAATTTCTTTTTGTACCGAGTTGCACGGAACATGCAGTAAACAAAAAGAGCAAAAATTACCCACCTTTTCGGCATGTCTTCCACATACAAACCAGCGATCTCAACGTCAATAACACTGAATCAGATCATGCCAATGCGATTTTTCGCCAGTTTCAGGACGCTATATTTTCTAGAGAACAAATTCACGTCAAAACTTTAACCAAAATAATTTTTGATCTCTTACAGTAGCAAGAAATTGCAACGCTGTCACTGCCAAAAAAAGCCGCCATTGCTCCCTTCATCTCAACAACATTTCCCGGGCATTTTTGCCTCGGAGCCAATGACATTGCCCGAAATAGATCACGCGTCATTTTTTTCAGAGCATGCGTAGACATTTTTCGCCAATGAAAAGACGACGAAGTTTCGCCGGCCGCACTTGCGCAGTGCACTTTATCTCACTTTAGTCGTCGTCGTCTCTAATGGCTAAACTGGAACTGAGAAATTTTCACAGCGGTTGCCATGATCGTGTGTCATCGCTACGAGAAAATCGCATGCGCAGTTTTAAACATTTTTTGGGCAATTCATTCTTCTTTGAGCGAGGCCTTGAAAAGCTCTTGGGAAAAACTGCCCACAAGTAAGATAAAGACGAAAAGAAGAAGCAGAGACGAAACGTAGTGTTTCTGACCTGGAAAATACCTAAACTAATCCAACAACACTTAAAAAGCGGTATGAGGCAACTTTGTCGGTTTTTTTTTTTCAAATCTTTCTTTTCATTTTTTAAAACGAATAAAAAGTGTGGTATAAACATCAGCGACACAGCACTTACCTGCGGCTCGTCTGCCACTTTTTTATCCTTACCACCTATTGACGTCATCTGTGGTCTATTACTAATAACTGTACTGAAGAGACGAATGGCAGCATCGAACCATTGGTTAAATATATCTAGCCGTGGATACATACGAAAAGTTCGGAGATTACGGGAGAAGCGTACGGGTTGCTCTATGACCACTTAATCTTAGTCATTTTAAGGATCATGCCATGCTAGTGTTTTATATAAGAGACTAAACGCTTTCCAATTTCCATTGGTGAAATACAAACAAAATAGGAACTGCATGCCCCGGATGTCTGCGTGCGCTTGTTTATCCTATCTTCTGGTTTTTTGCAGGACGTAAATGATCTAATAAACGCCCGGGGCGTTTATTAAATTTTAGGGGTCCAAGTGGGGGCGTTTAATAGATGGGAGGCGTTTAAAAGAGAGAGGCGTTTATTCTCGTAACTTATTTTAACGAACTCAACATAACTGTATACAGTATGCTTTCGGCTAAAAACGTTTTTGTGTTAACAGAATCTTGGCTGCGGGCTGACGGCTTATCTAGAAATTGAACATGACATAATACACAAAATGATGTTAATCAAGCAATGAAATTAATGAGTTGATTGATTTTGCTCTATTTCGCCATTTCCTAGTATTTGGGGGCAATTTTCAAGGGGGCGTTTATTAGAGAGGGGCGTTTAATACTAACTTAACAGCGTAAGGGGGGCGTTTATTAGATCGTTTACAAACCTGGGGTAACGCTAGCGCTTGTTTGCCAATCGTAAAGGCGTCTCCTCAGCTTTTTCGAACTTTGTTTAATGATGATTTAGTCAAGTTTCCAAAAGAACATAGAAATGAAAACACAGCAAAGAAAAACTGTGGACCTTTGTCCTTAACGGAAAGTAACTACGATGTTTAAGGATTATTTTATTGCACTGTTCACAGCCGGACAAGGCAGACTGATAATTGAATAATTATATGGAATGAAAATTACACGTTAGCTCCGGCGAAGATATGAATTGTATATTCTCGTGGCAAAAACAAGCTAGTGTCTTTGGGCCAGTAATTTAAACGGAGTTTAGCCCGTGCTTAACAAAACCGCGTTCTAAGCCATTTTCAGTTTTCCCACCGCATTTATCTATACATCATTTATCGTAAACAATTTCAAAAAAGCATATAGCGCACACTGGAAAAGCACTTAATATTTTCTTACATTAACCCACTAAGAAAGAGATCTGGACCAATGATTTCTTAAATATCGGCCTAAGTTAGACTTGATCGTTTGAATAACCGACCCTTTATTTTTTACCCAGTATTCCGAACCTTACCGTCAGAAGTTTTATGAATTAGAGCACTACGCTACGAGATCTACAAAATGTCAGCTCTAAACGTAACACAATATTTAACGAATTAAGTATATTACAGGATAGCCTCAAAACTGAAAGGGTATCGTATAAAGACGGTTAGCGGTCAGGCAACATGGCGTGTGAGGTAATCTGACTCTAATAATCATAAATTAATCCCCTAACTATGGCTGCCCTTTTTCTTTAGCCCCTGTGGTTATTTGGAGCAGCCTGAATGTTCTCCTCTTTACTTCTGTTAATATATCTTCTTTATCAATATTGTAATACTATTAAGTACCTAATATTGTTGTTGTTTTTGTTGGTTAAGTGTTTTTGACATTTTCTGTTATTTATGAGTACACAAGGTGGGTGATGGTTAAGGAATTGCAGATTGTGGCGTGATTGAAGTTGCTTTGAACACTTTCTAACATTTACTGGAGATGTCACCTGCCCTGGGTGACTGAGATGCCATCACCTGCAGTCCACCGGCAGGACGAACTGCTGTGCGGCAGCAGCTACCTTGTATCATCCTCTTCGCCTTTTCTCTGAAACGATAGCTGACCAATGCATATAAAATCGGATTGACAGCAGAATTGACCAAGACCATCGTATTGGATGCCGCTAGGGAGAGAAATGCACCCGTATGGGAATAAAACTGTACCATAAGGTAGTTGGTTCTGTCAGTCACCCAACACACTCCAAAGACAACACTGACAAGTATGACCATTAAGGTAGCTCGTTTTCGCATCTTCAGAACGGCCTGTTATTAAAAAAAAAAAAAGACAAACAAACAATTAGACAGGCACAAGAGAGATGAAGTTTGCGTTGCAATTCCGTTATTGGGGTTACCCGGCTATGACCGCCGTCAATTAAGCGCATTTTTTTAAAACCCAAAAAAGTAATTTCATGCCTACTCACTCTCCTTTAAACACACTTTCTAACTTCGATTTAACTTCTCACGTTTTAAACGTTTGCAGAATTCAGAGTCTCGGCGCGGCCTTCGTTGCGCACTAGTTACTGCACACAGTGGCGGATCCAGACTTTCAGAGAAGGGGGGGGGGGGGGGGGGGTCAGGGTTAGGGTTGGGGTTAGGGTTCTTTCTGCAGAAATCTTGATGCTTTTGTTCCCTGAAAAAATTCCCGTTTAAAGATTAACTTTAAGTACCGCGGGAACTCATTCGAAACTCATGCAAGCGTGCGCTCTTTCAGTACTTTTTCTTGGTTCAGTTTAACACTAAGACAGCATCAACATATATATTTTAAAATAACAAAACGCAGATACGTTGGAAATGCTATTACTTTAAACTGAAGGTAGAGCAAAAGCACTTTCAGGAATTTGCATTACTCTGAGTCAGCATATCACACAGTCTACCTATCTCTTGCCTATATAAATCATGTCATGTACATTGAAATATGCATAATAACCTGTAGTAAGTGATAAACATCATCCGTATAATATATGGGACAATAATGTTGTCTTCCCATATGGGTTACTATTCCATACCCAATAATGTTTTTAAATTATTTTACCTTCTGTTGCGTATTGTTTTCTCTCCTGTCCTCATGTTTGAACCACAAAGTGTACATCACACGGAAGTACAATATGGCCATGAGAGAAGTAGAGAGGACTACCAGACAAAACCAGTAAAGACTGTAGACCTTGCCGACCCACTGTCTTGGCCACGTGTTGATGCAGTAATTCCAATATTCGTTATATCGTCTGTACATGAACGATGGAATATTGAAGATTATCCCAAGAATCCACGTACTAAGAATTATCACCTGTTTTGATATCAAGCGAAACAAGGGAATAATTATGGTAAGGTTATTTTATGAAGCGCACAGAAATCAGCATATATATCTGCGACTAGGCTGGATATCAATTCTGGACCAATTATAATTAAGTTCACGAAGAGCATCCAAACAGTGTCGCTTGTTGAAAGCAAAAATTCCTTGAAACTGCCGTCATTTTTTTAAAAGTGTAAAAAAGGAAATGATTCTAAGTCCGGTTCAAGTAACACTGATGATGACGTATTATTATCGTCATCATCATCATCATCATTGTCATTATTTGTATCAGTATAGTCTTATAAAGAATTTATTTATTTCTTATTTAATCAAGCTAACAATCTGATTAGCCATGTTCTTTGGCTGCGTGTAAAATCTCACTCGCCACCCGAGAATTTGGCATTGCCTTGCAGACGAATCATGCAGTTTGCGCGAAGCCCTTAGATCATCCAGTTATCTGCTTGCCTGATAGTCAAGAGTGATTTTCGATTGACCTTGAAACGGTTATATACGCATGGAAAAAACAAACAAACAAAACAAAACAACAAACAAAAAATAATATAAAAATATGATTGGTCTATTAAACAGACAAAAATAATCCCTCTTGAAAAAAAAAAAAGATTGCTGAAAATTTATTTTCCAAGACATGGGGAACAGATACTGAGTTGCTAATCGAACACGCGAAAGACACTTTTCTCCACTTAAAGGGTGATCATCTTGCCATCATCTATTGACTGATAAAATAAATAACGAACACTTAAGGAAACCAGTTTTCAGTGTCATACGAAACGCTTCATAAAACTCAATAGTCTGCAAGGCGCGATGATTTCTGGAATTAACTTCTGGCTTTTGATATGAGGTAATCGAAATACGAATACACTTAGTGCTATTACAATTTATGATTATTTGAAATTATCACACCTTAAGTTTACTTTTACTAAGCGCCTCCATGTTTTCAAATGGATAAACCACCGCGTAGTAACGTTCAACAGCTATAGCAACCAAACAAAATACTCCAGTGGCGGCGCCGACCCATCCAATGATTCCACCAGTCACCGCAATGCAGAGCGCGGTGCCTGCTGCTCCTTCTGGGTGTGCGATGAAGTGGGAAAATATGTACTTTGGTGATAAAAATACGGCTGTTGTGATATCAGCAACAGCCAGATTAAGAATAAGATAGTTGAGTGAAGTCCTGTAGAATAAAGCATTGACAATATGTTATAGCTGCTCAGAGAGTACATGAAGAATAGGGTACAGTAGGTCACCCGCTTAATACGGACACCCGTATATACCATCAATTTCCTTTGTCCCAACAAACAACCGTCACATTTTCTCTCTAATATCAAGCACCTTTTTTTGTTCGCATACCTCATATCTCGATTCTTCACAATGATGACACAGACCAGAACGTTTCCGGCAATATTTACGATGACGAGTACAGAATGGGCCACCATTAATACAACATCAGCTGAATCGGAATTGCTGTAAACGGACATGGCTTCTTAATTCAACTGGAATGCTAGTCTCCAATTTTCATCTGATCTGGAGATAAGAAAATTCAAGTGCAAGCGACTGTCAGTACGGTTAATCCCGTTTAGTGTTTCGTTTTGCATCGCCTTACTAATTGTATGAGCGGTTCGATTGAACTACTGCCATCAAAAGTGATAACTGGATTCAGGAGTCTGGGTCCAAGTAAAGGCGTCGACACAAAACCAATCTCAAAACCAGCATGAGGAAAGATTGATATAAGTAGCGGGAAGCAACTGAAACACAAATTTCTTTTTTTTTTTTTTAAGCTTGTTTATGGGTTTTCCAAATATGCCCAATCGTGAGGAAAGGAAACATTTCAGAGGCAAAGCCTAACTTACCGATAGGGGAGGTCAGCAATTTTACTTCTCTCCTATGTTTAATTTGCTATATTCGTATGTTTCCAGTTTTATTCAAACAATAAAACTTTCTGTCGAAGATCAGTTGATGAGTAGTGTTCTCAAAACAAATATTAGTTTCACGAAAGTAAAATTTCACAAAGCTGTTTTTTGAAACTATGATAGTTCCTCGGACTAAGAATTTTATCTTCTCTTTTTCGCCGGAAATTTTTAAATACACAAACCAACGTTGTTGTCAGGTTTATATCCAGTTTCATCTTTTTGGTGTGTTCTGGAATCGCGTCGCACGCACACAAAAGAACAGATACTGTATTATAAAACCAAAAAACGTCACAGTAGGAAAAAAATGTCAATAAAGCATTAATAAAGCTAGCGAATGTTAATTCAAGCGTAAGGAAAACCTATCAAAATTTCACACGAATTACATTTTGCTGTGAACAGATGAACATTGCTGACAGATTTTATATTAGCGATACTACTCATACTGTAACATGCAAATTAACAATCATCGATTTTATAACTGAACTACTAAACCTTTTTTAGCGTTGTGCATTTTGCGTTGCGAAACTCTCTAGACCAGACTCGCCGGAAATTCGTTATTTATGGATAAAGCTAAATAAGTGGCAATTTGAATCTTGTTTAAAAAAGATGGATTTGTGAGTTTCGTGAGAATTTAATAAACAAAAAAGCAATGAAATCAGACCAATTAATGAATATACATGTCAGCCTTATTCTTATAGAACCTTACTCTGCGCGTATTAATAACTATTGTATCGCAGCAGCTGGAAAGTCCGCCCCAAGTTCTAAACATGCAAAGTTTAAGAGCTGAAAATGATTTTGACTAACAGTTCAGATAACTGCGAGGATTCTTGACTCGCAGTCGAGAGGCCTTCGACAAAGCGAAGAGGTCGAGATTTGCTTTTAATCCAAATACTAGCGACCAATTCATCTCCGAGATCGAAATCATTTTCATCCTTTAGAATGAGCTGTAATTTTAAAATTGCACAGAAATAGGAGAAAAACGACATATCAGAATTATTCAATATGACCCAATATATCCAAACTCACCCCTGCTTTTGCATTTTATGACTGGACTGTTGACGCTGTAGTCAACGCCGCGCGCCTTATTCTTTTCTTGTCCTTCACCATTTTGCAAGAGCAAGGGGTTTCAAAAATAACCGTTGATGAAAAAATCCTACTGAATTTCCAAAGATCCTTATTTACAAAAGTGACAGTTAACCGCGACGCATGCGCAGACCCAAAAACACAATGAATTGAATGGAAGTCCAGAGTTATTACCTTTTTAATCAGTCAGCCAATCAGTCATGTCGCGTAGAGGGTAGCCTGCCAGCTGGCCCACTTGTGCAAATTTGGGGAACATTTTGTCTGCGGAGCTCAATTGAGCCTGCCCGCAGGCTACGGAGAAGGTAGGAAACGCACTATGTATCTGACTGAAGTGAAGGCAATACTTACCAAAACTTTCCACTTAAATAAACTATTCCCACATTCTGCTATCGCTCGATCGCATCTTAACTAATCTTGAGTGCTAAGCTACCCGAGTACACTGAATGTTCTGAGTACTGTATTCTATGCAATTTTTTGCCTTAATAAACTAATTTTTTGGCTGTTTTACCTGTATGGTTTATGCATGCACTCTTATTGCAATTAAGGGTTGGAATAGACAGTCGAAAATGAATAGCTTTGACCACCCGCACGCAAACATTGGTTGTGAGTACCATAAGAAGCTCTTGTAGCCTGTGGAACGAGAGGTTTTTGGGGTGTGCTTTAATTTTCGTTTGTGAGAACAAAATAACGGCAGTGAATCGAGGTAAAACATAAAGCGAAAGGGGAGTAGGGGGGAGAAAATCGAAAAACACACACAAAAAACCCGCCTGCTATGCAAGCAAGTTTCCTTGTCGTGGCTGGATTGTTCATTGCATGTAAACAGGTTTTATGTGACAATATTCCGTTACAATTATTGATCATTTCCCTTGTAATTCATTCCTCAAAAACCTGTAATATGAAGTAAACAAATATTGAATTGTCGAAGAAATCTAATAGAGAATATGGCATGGCAACCGTTACTGTTTTCTCCTCGTACTGAACGGAGAAGGTCAAAATGTGGTACAAGGAACAAACGAAGCATAATTACAGTGGAACCGGACCTCGATCCAACGAACTATTATATAACGAAGTCCTCGGTATATAGAAACGATTTTCTTTACCCCAGTAATAGCAAAATATATGGAAAAGAACCACGATATAAAGAAATCTCGTTAGATCGAACACATTTAGCTACATTTTGCCAGTCCCTTGGCTCTTCGTTATACCGAAGGTCCAGCATTGTACTGCCTCTAATGGGGGCGCCTCGCCAAAACTTTCGTGTTTCTCGTGAAAATGGTTCGTCATATTTGTAAGATCCAAGATAGCTTGGATTCTGGATTCCATTCAGTGGATTCCAGATTCCAGGTGCCTGCATTCTCCATTCTTTGTCAGTGGAACTTGGATTCTGGATTCCAATCCTTTGTGGGATTCCGGATTCCTTGAGCTATATTCTGGACTCCAAAGCCCAGGATTCCGGATGCCACAAGCAACACTTTCCCGTACTCCGGACTCCGGATTCCACAAGCCAAAATTTCCCGGACTCCGGAATCCGGATACCCGTACAAGGGGCGATGTCAGGATTAATGCAGGAAACATTGGCCTCCCTTGGGTATAAAGCTAGTGAGTGCTCGGGTAGGACAATTTTTCTACATATAAACACTGTATAGGGCTTTTTTTGTTTATCAGCAACAACAAAAACAACTTTATTGGGGAATGAATTAGAAGAGGAGAAGTATATACCCCCAAGTAGTAAAAGCTAATCAAGGCGGATAATCAGAACAAGATATAATTATGATACAAGAGAAAACGTAAAGTTTCACTTAAAGTACAGTCTTAAGTATAGTTATAATGTATATTCAACAGCCAATCATAAGCGCGCATATGAATTTTCAAATTTTCAAATTAGCAATGTTAGCAGTGTCGCGCGATTATGTTGCGATGTAAACTAACTTAACGATAGCCAAGTGTGTATGGGGATTAAATGATGAGTGGACCAACTCTGTTGATCTACGAAACAAAGTTGTATTAAACTCTATATGTACTCATACTGAGTAGTCCACCTACTGTTACAGTTCCTCAGTTCATTGTAGAGCATCATTCTGGATTCGGCTGTGAACATCACATGCAATTAAAGTTTCACTTACATATATATGGCGCGAGATACAGGAAGTTACAGCAGGGTCTGGAAGGGTATTTTCGGGATTCGGGATTTGACAAAAATACGGTGCGGGAATCGGGAAAATGATAAATATATTGACGGGATCCGGGATTTGACTGTTCCCCGGGAAGCGGGACTCGCCAAAAATTGGGCACGGGGTGCGGGATTTATGTTTGCGTGTCTGTCGGGAATGCCGGAAACCTTTAAAAACACGCGTAAATTCAAAATATCAATCGAAAGGATCAACCTACATCTTACATTTATTAGCTTTTGTAGAAATTAGACTTTTTTCCCCCCCCCCCCCCCCCCCCCTTCTAGACCCTGTTACAGCTAATAAAGAACTAAACTAGAGGCACAAATACAAGAGATAATATAAAGTTACACTTACAAATACAACGCGAGATATAGGAAGTTACAGCTGATAAAGAACTAAAGTTATAAGGTTATTGCAATATGATCAACGTTAAATGTTTTTCATTATACGTGAATCAATAATAAAAGATGTCAAAGGGGACACTGAAGTTTTCAGATTTCAGGATATGGCAACATTTCATGTGCATGTTTTCTGATAATTTTTTACTCTCTGATTCTCTAATATTCTGAGGTAAAATGTTCCATATACGTACACCAAATCTAGAAAACGAGTTTTTTAGTTATCCGAGACGTGAGGACATAATGTAAAATTTATTGACTGCGGCTGATCTGGTATTGTCTCAGTGTATATGATCAGAGACATGTTTGAATAAGTCTTGCATATTTACAGGCGCCACCTTGATTTGGACTTCAAAGTGTGCATTTTTATGGCCATTACACGGCATATTACCAATGCTATACGCGTTTCACGTCTTGTTAATTATAAGAAATACCCTAACCTTGAAAATGACAAACTTTCAAGTTCAGCTGCTATAAAGTAAAACATAAATAATGACGCAATATATTGAACCTAAACTATAAGGAAGGTCACCTGTTAGAGTGATTTTATTTGAACCGTGAAACAGATAATAACTACTAGCGCAAAATAGCTTCAAGTAGACAAAAGAAGACAATTGAATTAGTGCATAATAGCGCGTAGTATTCTACTACCTATTTCACGGATTAAGTAAAATCACTCTATGCCACTAGTTTTCCTATGACGTTTGTTCTCGTTCCTCGATTAGGGAGCTTAAGCAACAGCGTTTTTGAGCGACGGACGTCAACTGGAAGTGGACTTTTTGCATCATTGGGCAATGAATTGGTTCAAAATCTCAGGTAAATCGTCTTTATAAGAGAAACGAAATTTGCGTCGCTCAAAAACGTCTTTGCTTAAGCTCCCTGTTGTCTTAGTCAGGACATGTGATTCATAATAACAAATATTAAATAAAAGATTACAGAGAAAGTTCAAAACATTGATAAATAAATTATTCTTAGTATATTGCACATTAGCTTCTGGTGAATTGAATGGTTATAATTATGGTTTATTTGTTTTCGCAAGTTTCTGTTATTCCTAGTTTAAAATAGCCTGAAATGTCGGACGTCACAGCTAGGTTAGGGGCTTGAGACGTATGACATTTGAGACTACCTCTTTAACAAAGTTTACCCAATTTCGGGTAATTTGGATTCCGGAATTCGCTAAATGTTTACTTTGTTGAATCCGGCGTCCTTGGCCTTGGAATCCGGAATTCAGCTCAAGGAATCCGGAATCCCGCTATAAAAGATCTGAATCCGGAATCTAAATTTCAGTGACAAGGTATCTGGAGTCCACAGCATAGAAATATCCACAATCCAAGACTGGATTTCCTCACATGGAGTAGAAAGGTGGTTCAGTGATAGAAGATTGCGTATTGTCAGTGATCGAAGGTAGCCTTGAATGTTGTTCTGGGATGCCTCCTGTCCTACGTTGCTGAAGGGCCATCACTTGCGGTCCATCCGCGCCAGGAAGCGCTGTGTTAGAAATGGGGCAGCAAATGCGTCGTAGCATCATCCTCGCTTTTTCCCTGAAACGATGGTTGACCAATGCATACACAATTGGATTGATAGTTGAATTGATCAAAACCAGCGTGTTTGACGCCGCGAGTGAGAAGAATGCATCCGAAGGGGAATAAAAATGCACTATCACGTAATTGGTCCGGTCAGTCACCCAACATATTCCAAAGACGAGGCTGACAAGCATTACCATTAAGGTGGCTCGTTTTCGCATCCTCGGAACAGCCTGTTAGCACAAACATAATATAAACACTATTAAAAACGGTAAAACACTGTGAAGTACAAACATTAACCAAAAGGGACTGCAAAGGACCGCAAACGAATATGCCGACGAATGTAGGATCTATAAAGACCTGATCAGAAAAAATGAAAACTAGACATATTAAATTCTGCAAGCAGAATACTGCAGTGCTGATCGTACCACGTGAAAATTAACTCTGCAAGACATCAACACTACACTGAAAGAACTCAATAAAAAACAGAGCGGGATTGTAGCCATAGACAGCTGTTTCCCCCTATCATTTGGGGCTCGTCAGTATGGCGTAACAACCAAAGAAAGCTCTGATGAAAAATGTCCCCGCACTCTGATTTAAGCCCTGACCTAGAACTCTCAACACCCACAGAATCACGCCATACCACGAGCCCCAAAGAGGGCGAAACAGCTGTCTATGGCTACAATCCCGCTCTGTTTTGAGTTCTTTCGGTTTGGTGTTGATGCCTTGAAGAGTTAATTTTCACGTAGTACGATCAGCACTGCAGTATTCTGCTTGCAGAATTCAATATGTCCAAAACACTATGAAGTCGTTTCGTATATCCGTAATTTCCGTAAGTAAGATAAAGGATAAGCCCCCACCCTCCACGTAGGCCAGATACAAAATGCTATAACAAGGATAGTCTATTACGCTCTAGTTGTTGATTGTCATGATATCAATTTTCTTTTTTCTAGTGAAAATAATATTGCAAAAAAGGTTTGACTTTTGCGTCTTCGATGCAAGATATCATGCTTTATATCTTCGACAAAACAAGGGTCCTTTTTAATGCTTATATGACATAGCAAGCCGATCCGCTGGAGATAAGGATTGCGGGCTTAGTTACGTTTTGCTAAAATAAAATCGGAAGTGCACAGCAGACATAACATAACACTGAACTGTAAAACATTCTCTCTCTAGAGAGCTATTTTTAAGTCAAGAAAACATCGATACCATTTAAAAAGTTATTACTATTAATTAACTAAAGACAGAGTTAGAGCAGCCACAGGAATTCGCAGTTACTTCATGTTAGCGGTTTGCACATCATTCGCCCCATGTAAAGAAATCCGAGTGAAGACAGCCTTGGATTCTGGATTCCAAGCTGTGGATTCCGGATTCCAGGTACTTGATTTCGGATGTCTGTGGAACTTGGATTTCGGATTAATTTCAGTCGTTAGCGGTATTCAGGATATACTCCTTGAAGTGAACTCCAGATTCCAAAGCCCTGGCTTCCAGATTCCACAAGCAAAAATGTCCTGGATTCCAGAGTATTACCATACATGGGGAGACATCATGATATAGTCCAGATAATAAATTATGTCGTGTAATGTCATTCACCACGCAGGACTTGTTATTCATAGGAAATAACAGGAGCCGATTAGGTAATAAACATTACTCTAGCCCTTCTAATTTAAGGGCGACTATACGGTGAGTTATATGGAGTGCTAGTTGCAGTCAAGGCTGATCAAGCGTACCCCCTCAACATTCTATTAATGAATTGATTATCTGAAAAATCAATCCGTTAGTTGTTCCCGTATTTGGTGTCAAATTCAAGTCGGCATTCCTGCATGCGTAATAAGCAGTGAATATTTTACGATAACTTCTCTGTATTTGGTCAGATTGAAAATCTTTGAATAGATAAAATCGGCTTCGAAGACATTTACGTCACATTCAGGGAATTGGACAATATTAATGGAATCTTGGGGGATACGCTTGACCTGTAATACCCGTTAACACGGTTAAGTTTTAGATCATCTTACCCTCTGTCGCAGATTGCTTTCTCTACGATGTTCTTCCTTTTTGAACCACATCGTATACGCCACACGAAAGTATAGCACGGCCATAAGGGAAGTTGAGAGAACTGCGAGCAAAAGCCAACTTAGACTGTAGGCCTTGCCGACCCACACACTTGGCCACGTGTTGATGCAGTATTTCCTTTCCTCGTTATATCTCCTGTATATAAACGCTGGAATATTGAAGATCACCCCAAGAATCCACGTGCAAGTAATTATCACCTGTTTTGATATAAAAAAAACAAGGGTTAAATATGGTTTGGTTTCCAGGGGGCTGATGGGATGGGGGGCACTCTAAATCTGCCATACACCAAAATTTTCAGAAGTAATTGTTTACTCTCAGTAAATGCGAAAACACATTGCGAGTACTATATTTACGGCTGGTAATAGCTGACACTACAGCTGCCCCCGCTCTGTTGTTTTTCACATGACACATGACACATTCACATGACACATTTCACATGGTTGGTTTTCACATGACGTCACTAAAATTCAAACTAAAAAACTATCAATCTTACCGAGATTTTACTTTCACGATGCATTAGAGCAGCTGAAAACTGATTTTCATACAAATTTTCGCTTCAAAAGGGTTCTTGGTTTTGTGATAGTGTACGCTTGAATTTCCAAGCTTTTGTGTGACGCGGCATTCAAATGACGGCCAAGAGAGCTGTCATGTAGGTTAAAAAAAAGACTTATTTCAGGAAATTTTGCTATCTAAACAGTTCATGCAGTAGAAAAAGTATTACTTTAATGTTTATGAGTTTCTTGAAGAATAAACACACGCTTTTGTAGCAAAACTCGGTAACAGATGTTTCTGTTGGTTTCCCTCCGCCATGTTGGAGCTCATCCAGGTGAGCACCAGCATGGCGTCTCCATACAAATCTCTATAAGTGTGGGTAAAACATTTCTTTGGATATCTCGTATACGAAATATTCCTCTGACCCGAATCTTGGCGAGGGTCTTTGTATACGTACCTCCTTTCATTTCCCAGATTCTGGACTTTATCTATTAAACGGTTTTGATTTTTATTTTGATCTATTTTGAAAGGCGTGACACTGAAAACCAGCAATATTGTCGGTCAATATTGTCTTAGATAAATACAGGAAACGCAAGGTTTCATGCACACTGTTCAGTTCGATTTAGACAGCTTTTATCAAAACATTCTCAGTTTCGAGAATAGTTTATTCTAAACCATAAGAAAAGATTTAATTAGAAGTTGAATTTTTCGCTATTTCTATTTCACTTTTTGCATTCAGTTCATTTTATTTGCCGGAAAGTAAGCCTTAAAAATTAAAACGACGTTTGACCAATTCACGCTCGGGCATTCTTGTCTTATTTTACACTTTCTAACGGAAGGACATCAGTGAGCAGGGAATAAGTCAGCACAGAATTTGATTGTCGGCGAATTTCTGCAATCGTCCATCGTTCTGCTAGTGATAAGCTAGCAGTTGTTCACTCGTCTTGCCTGTTTAGGGCTGAGTCTTATTCCGGTCAAAGAGAGAGAAAGAGTGTCTGGCAAGGTTTCCATTCAAAGACTTGTGAACTCGTGCGTGTCCTGCAAACTCTCCAAGTGGTTACATATAGACAGTTATATGCACCTTATAACTTCATCTGCGCTTAACGAGTGTCTTTTGGTCAATAACTTTCAAAACAACTGCTCCAAAGAATGTCACTGATAACACGTAACGCAAAAGAGTATCGAAGTGTGACTGCACAATCAATGTCACAAAATCTACCTAAGCGGTCCCTTCGGGATTTTCTGTCTTTACGTCATCCTAACCATTTCGTACTTGCGGGTGCAAACAATAGAAAGGTCATCATTACCTACCAATTCCTCGCGGCGCCTGTTCAAGCAAATAGAGATTTTTTCTGGCATACTGACTGTATATTTCAACTGTAAGTACTTTCCTTAATATACGCGCGAGTTACTAGAGTGCCTCCTCGGGATTTCGCCTTCTGGGCGAAATCCCTGCGGGGGCAATAAATTGAAGTAATCGCACCTTCAAATTACGTTTACGAAGCGGCCTTGCCACGTATTTAATTGGATGAACCACGGCGTAGTATCGTTCAGCAGCTATGGCAACCAAACAAAATACACTGGTGACGGCGCCAACCCATCCAATGTTTCCACCAGTCACCGCTATGCACAGGGCGTCGCCCAATGATCCTTCTGGATGTGAGAAGGCGTGGGAAAAAATGTACTTGGGTGATAAAAATATAACAGTTGAGCTGTCTGCGATGGCCAAATTCAGAAGAAGATAGTCGAGTAGATTCCTGTCGGTGTAATAAACATTGATCATGACAGTTAATTAATTGACAATAGGCTATGGAAAATATACGAAAAATAAAACAGTTTCGATGGGGCCAGATCTCCACCCGATAAGTTATCTGGGCGTTCAGTTGCGGACAAGAAATCTATAACGATGGTAAAAATATGTTTAGAATTTAAAAGGTAAGTAGAAAATCGATAAAATACATCGAATGGAATAAAAAGACACAAGTCGACAGTTGCAAATATCGCGGAAATATATGTTCACGGACGAAATGATTTTAAATAGAGTAAGGTGTATGGTAGAATCATAAAAGAAAGAACAAAAACCATCCACCAAAGAGGCTAGATTACATTGACAGCTAAAAAAAATGGAATAAAATAATGCTAAATTAATGTAATATCAGAGAATTGTGCAAACCTTTTTTATTGGAAATTTTAAAATGGATGTCAAAACTCGGTTGCAATGGTAATGTCAATGTTGACGTACCTGTCACTACGACTAATAGTTTGAACGATTTTGAAGTTTATTCAAGTTGGGCAAACCTTTTCAAGTCTTAATGCTGAGCCAACAAAAAACGCCAAAAAATTATTATGGTTAGTGCTCCCTAATGAAATTTGTTTGATATCTTCTTCATAAGTCCATAGCAGCATTAATTATGTAAATTTATGTTGTATGAATGAAGACAGCTCAGAATTGACCTTAAAAACATACCTTGGTGACATAGCCCCTTTAATGAAGCTTTTAAAGTCTCTTTTCTGGATATACAATAGTATAATGATAATAATAATAATAATAATAATAATAATAATAATAATAATAAGATATTAACAGAAAATGCTGATGTTTTCTTGGCTCACATTTTTTCTACAATAGTTACTTCTTAATAAGTTACTTTAATTAGATTTAGATTCTTTTCAATCTCAAAGCCTACCTCATGTCTCGATTCTTTATAATGATGATACAGACCAAAAAGTTTCCTGCAATGTTTACGATTGTGAGTACGGAATGGACCACAATTAACACAATATTGGCTGAATCGGAATTACTGTAAACAGACATGGCTCAGTCTGAATTAAACCGGGGTCCTAGCCTGCCTGAAGCTTCTTCTGATCTGCTGAATGATGATTTAAATGAAAGCGATTGTTAATAACGGTCGTAACGCCATACCCTGTCAATACCCTGTCCCGTGGCCCTCATCATCAATAAAGTGCGGGAGTCTGGGTACAAATTAAGTCAGGCTCAATAGGCCATTTCCCAGTTCCCCCGGACCTCTGTATGAAAACGAGGCTAAGTGCTCAAGTTTTGTTATGGAAATGATTTTTAATTCTCATGCGAATAAAACTAATTTTTACAAGAAAGGTTGTGCACTTGGCCTCGTTTTGAAAATGAGACAGTGTTTTCGGAACTCGGAAGTGGCCTTCTCTACAAGACTTTTGGAAAAAAATAAGACGCTGTTAATCCGTTTTACTATGATCATTGCCGACAGATTACATGTAAGCAAGAGACTATAAAGGGGACAGAGAGGGCATCCCCCATATACACCCTATTCCATAGGTAATTCGTCTCGAGTTATTTTTAACACCACAGATCTCAAGGGGGATTAGACAACAGCCAATCACATAGCGCGAATGTGTTCCGCGTGGATGACCCACGCTGAGAGCCACGCGTCCTTCACGAAATGACGCAGAACAAAATGGGGGAAGACGCGGAGAGCGATTTTGCTATTCCTTTTGTCGACGAAAACGACTACAGCGAGATTTCTGCGAAAGCTGTGTCAGCGAAACCGAAATTAAAAAAGAATCGCCCTTCCTCTCTTGTATAGAGCTAACAGTAGAGCAGGGAAATCCTTAACACACTGAATATTCTCTCAGGATCATTTATAATTTACAGTTTGAAGAGAGCAATTTCTGGTTTGATGTTTATTTTTTTCAGTCTTTATAGCGATTATTCCTACCCACTTACTTTGTCAATTGTAGGCGAACCCTCCTAAAGCTGAATTTCAAGGGACCATATTCAAGCTCAGAAAGAGAAATAAAATTTCGTCGTTGCTTATTTACGTCCTCCATAAAACGCGAAATTAGGCATTTTCACGTCGTAGTCGTGCAAAAACGGGAAAGAAATGAACAAAAAAGTGTGTTGCACGTGCGAAGTTGTTGTTTTGCCAATTAAACCTGTTGTTTTTTTGACGTTCTAGTTGTCGTTCGCGTCGTTGGATCTTAAACTCCCTAAATTGTACAAACGACCAGTTTCAATAGACCGGCGAAATTTCTCATTTTATTAAAGCACTGAGGTTACGACAACCTCGAGTTAAACTGATTTCACGGGTTGTCAAAGAGTCCAGCGATTCCTTTTTCCCAGGTGAGCGCCGACTCATTTCGTTTCAATATTCAGGAATGCTCTCGATCTTTTTACGCTTTCATTGCCTCTCGCCCGACATGTTTTGCAAGGCGTTTGGTCATGCGAAACCTCCACGAAACATCCACGCCTCGCGCGAGGTAACTTAAACCCGATTCTAAAAATAACTCGAGACGGATTACCTAGGGGAAAAGGGTGTATATGGGGGATGCCCTATCTGTCCCCTTTATAGTCTCTTGATGTAAGCCATGCCGGATTAAATTTATAGCAATTTTTTTGGTTAATCTAATGACCGCAACTCTTAATAAAATTCTTTATTGGTACTTATTTTTTAAAAAAAAATCGAGTTTAAATACTTGCAAATACCCTTGTTCTGAAAATATAGTTTAAGTATTATGTTTAAAATGCTTTTTAGCACCAAATATTTCTCAGATAGAGGGAAAACTTGTCAGAGAGTATTCAAATAGATCTGAAATAGCACGTATGAAGCTCCTATGACTATTTTGGTTTTATGGGTAAAATATAACAGCAATGCCTGGAACTTAAAGCAATTTTGAAATAGCTTTAAACTACTTCCCAGAAGGTTTAAAATAGAATTTGTTGGTTCGAGGAAACGGAAACAGAAACAGAAACTGAAGTCAATTTGAGGACAAGATCATGTTTCATCTAAAAATATACCAAAACAAATATATATCATCTAATCCAAACGACAATTTATCAAAACAATGGGTTATGCTACCATGTCATGAACATGATTGGGTAGAAATTTTTCCATTTCTCACATTGTAGTTAGAATTGTACGAAAGATTGGGGAAAATTATCTCGTTTGAAGATTTATTGTCTCCTAAATTTAACTTTGGCGTCAAGTGTATTTAACAAATGAATTACTTTTTGCGGTGTTCTTTTGAAATAGCAACTTAAGTGCACAAATGGCGTCAGCGTGGCTAAGGGTAAGGCCAAACTCCGAACCCAAAACCAACCAATTATTATGATATACGTCGATCTATTCTAAGTTAAAAATGAACATCTGCTGTCATGGTTAAGAAGTCGAACAATAAATGAAGGATCCTTTGTTTCGTCTCTTGAAAATGTTGAAATAGTCGACGTTGTTTGGCCAAGTTTGAGAATGGACTTTCACAATGTTTTTCTGAAGTCTGTTATTTTAAGTTAGACAAATATGACATTGTAATAACAAAAATGAGGAATTCGCTAATGGCAATTTCAATTTAAATAGATCATGGATGACATCAAAATGTGGTTTATAAAACCGGAAAAAGTGGTAGAGAGCCTTAGGCGAGTGCGTCACTGATTATTTTCAAGCCATATTTGGTTTCGAAGTCTTCTGTGATCTATAACCAAGCCACAGAAACCACTATAGGGGATACATATTTTAAAAAGGACTTAAAGAGGACACTGGCATCGTCGACCAACAATAGAACAAATAAATAAAATTAATACATACATACATACACACATACATATATACACACATAGTTTTCATAAAGGGCAGCCCCAAATCAAAAAAGCAGGCTTCTAAAGCAAAAACCAAAACCAATTGAGACAACACTCCTGACGTCTTAGAAACATTTGGTCGTTTGGTACCCCTGTTCGTTTGCTATTAGAGCGATTTTACTCGGCCCGTGAACAACACAGTTAATAACAACTTGAAAAATAGCTACAAATAAACAAAAGAAGACAATAGAATTAGTGAAACATAGTGCGTAGGATTATAATACCTATTTCACGGGTTAAGAAAAAAAATCACCCTAACCGCCTTGTGTGTCTAAACTAGTAGAATGAATCGATTAAACAATATATAATTTTTTGTATAACCCTTGTCTCGTAAATTGTGGGATACAAGTTGCAAGAAACATTGCCTAAAACGTAGATCCTATAACCTTATCTACACTAATCTAAAACTGAAACTACGTCAGTGTATGTAGATCGGAAAAGAACATTCAAAAATAGTATCATTGCTTGGTCTAAAGTGGGTAGATAAGAACAGTTACTTCTTGACAACTTAAACTTACTGAGTTTGCAAGGTATATATATTTATCTTTTCTCCCCACGCAACATCGACGCTTTCCCGACCAGACTAAACAGTTCCTTTCGACTTCGTAATATCTCTCCTTTTTTTAACGTCAGTTTTGGATAAATTTAGCCTACATTGTTAACGGTTTTGTATATAAGCTCAAGCAAGCGCAGAAGTTGACAGCTGATGCAATTAACTCGTGACTTATAAATAACGGACAGATCTAAAGGATGTGGGTAATGACAATCAATATCATGTTGTTCTTGTTATTATTATTAGAGCGGTTTTCACTTGACTGTCGTAAAACCAAAACCAAAGTAAATACACTAGCCAACCAAAGGGCGTGGTAAAACCAAAACCAAACCAATTCCTCAATTACTTTCGACAGTCAAGTGAAAACCGCTCTATAATTTATTAATTAATTATTGCTATTATTATTGTTATTATTATGGTGGCTCTGGTATGATTTTCTGGCCTGCCCATGCTTGGTATGCTAAATATACAAAATACTAATCCATCGTCAACACTCTTCGTAGTCATCATAAGGAGGGAATTGGAAATTCGGTGTATGCATGGTGTAATGTTAAGTAATCATTAACAAATTGGTTATTCCGGTTCACGACGCACAAGCCGACGAGCTCTACCAGATGAGGGTGGGTTCCCTGACGTCATTCAAAATGGTCAACAACATATTGACCAAGATCATAATTGGATTTTACTTGAAATTCAGATCTATGCAAATAGCGAAAGTCCATGGACTCTGCTGGATAGAGCTTGTTAAAATCAGTTTATTTGCCAAAGGGTTGAGTGATAAAATTGCGTTTGTAAAATTTGGCGACTTTGCGGTGCAAAAGCTTCGATCGCCTCCGACATATCCGGGCTCTTAAACTCGGCAAGGATAACTCAGGGCGCCCTTTCAAGCAGTGTCGAAGGTTTTCGTGGCTGTTTCTTTTTGTAAAAGTTGGACACAGCGGTCTATTTTAGGAAATTATAACAGGAAAGTTCAACCATATACTTCCCGTCTCAAATACGAAGACTCGTGGTCTGTTGCGGATGGGTGTGATCACCAAATTACGTAAAACTGAAAAGATTAAAAAGACAATGAACAAAACCCACATGACACATCCACACAATGGTTTCCGCAACAACAAGCACCCGGCGTATTTTATAAGAATTTAGAGAAATATCTCTCAGACTATCTCAGACTCCGCAGGACAAGCAAAATTATATTCCGCTAAGGTTTTACGCAACGAGCATTTGAGTACCATCTTCTCTTGCATCTACATGTATCATTACACAGAGAAAGCATTTCAGATTCTTCATTTCCTATAATCTTGTGAGAAAGTTGGTAGAATAAACTTTCTGTTAAACAACAGACAATTTCTCTTTCAACTTCTCGCCTTGAATTACAATTCAAGTTGCAAGAAAAATTACCTGAATCCTAACGTAAACTTTTGACCGCTTTAAAATTCTATAAGCTGCCCCAATATTCGCATCTCATCTAGAAATTAGAATATCAGTACTGCTTGATTCCAGGTGGCTACTTAAAAACCTCATTCAGACAACTTACTTAGTTCGCACGAAGATCTTCTTCAAACACAACAGCGACGCTTACCATGATACCACATTTAAGTAAATGAACTTATTGTAACCAACTCCTCTTTCCTTCATA